TTATCACTAAAATTATAACAACATTTTGAGTACTATTTATTTCCCAGAACAAAGCCGTTATACCACCCAAAATAATAATGTTATTTCCCCAGATACTTACTTTATCAGTGGGGATATAACTTTTACATACGAAAAGGGGGCATAATTAGGTTTTGCATTATATAAAATTCTCTTCGATCAAATAGTACTAGTTTTGGATTATATAAAATTGTCTTGAGCCGAGAAATACTATTATTAAGTTTTGTGCTATATAAAATTGCTCTTGGCATAGAAAATAGTATTACTAGGCTTCATACTGTATAAAATTGTCATGAAGGGATAATAGGCTTTGTGCTATATAAAAAATTTGTTTGGACCAGAAAATAGTATTACTAGGTTTTATACTATTTAAATTGTCTTGGACCAGAAAATAATATTAACAGGTTTTATATTGTAACTGTATTAAAAAATGTTTGCACTACATAAAATTGTCTTTGCTTAGAAAATAATATTAAGTTTCGTGTTATATAAAATTGTCTTGAACTAGAAAGTGGTATATTACATTATATACTATACAATTCTTTGCAGTAAAAAAAAACTCAAATTATTGATTCTCAATAGCAAAGTAAGTGTTTATTCAGGTTTATTATAATACTAGTTTCGTAAATAAAAATCTACATTATTTTTGAAAAGTAAATTTAATTTCTACTTTACAATTATTGCAATTTTCTATTGAAACTCGAGGCATATCATAAGCTAAATTAGAATTTATATAAGGTTGAGTTTCTTGATCCTCTTCAATGATCTGAATACTAGGAGAATCAGTTTCATTATTATTGAAGGTAGGTGCTTTGAATGGAATACAAATAGCTTAGAAGCATCAAATGGTTTAAATTTTCTTGGACAGATACTTCTTTGTTTAATTGGACCAGCTACTTGATTAGTTAGAATTGGTGCTAATGGAGGTCATGAAACAACTTGCTTGATATCTAAAATAAAAAAATAATTTATATGTTTGTATAAATAGTAAATAAATAAGTAAAATAAAATTTACTTGAATTATTATTATTTGTAGTTTGGTTTTGTTTAATAGACGGAATTATCTTTGAGACTGTATTATGCAAGATTTCACGAGTAAAACTTTGGTATGATGCTACACCACCAAGAGATCG